AAGAGGGGCAGTGGGGACAGATGCAGGAAACTTCTTTTACCTTGTGGGGTGAAAGCCACCCAGCAATTTCCTTAGGGATTATGGCAGCGTGCTCATCTCTGGGGCTATTGCCAGTGACAAAAACCACAGGGCATCAGGGACCAGCTCCCCTCGGTGCTCTCTGGGTGTCTGCTGGCTCTGCTGCAATGTTCAGATCAAAGAGTTCACATATTTGAGCTGGGCATAAGCCCAGCTGGGGTTAGGGGAGCAGACAGGGGTTGGGGTGAAGCCCTTGAAGGCAGGAGCCTGCTCACTTCCAGGTCTCCTTATTTCTGAGCCTGACCCATGTGCCCAGGTGTCCCAACAGCCCTGTCTGTCTAAGTTGTTGGCTTAGTTCTCTGGAGCAGGGCACTGGGCTGCTGCTCTTGTAGGCAACGGCAGATGTACTGACCAGGAGCCAACAGGCACAGCCTCATCAAGGTCTGTGGAAGCAGAAGACAGAAAAAATTGTAAGAAAACCCTGAATAGAAGCCCAGTCTCCCTCCAGACCAGAGAAACTTTCCTCTAGCCAGTCCCTCCAGAGCAGTGAGGATGCTCCACATCTCAAAGCTGGGCCCAGGGAGAGGTCCTCAGCCCCAGCCAGGGCTCAGCCCCACGGCCTGATCTGCTGCTGGTTCCCTCCAGGGTGACACCCCACCACCTCACAGCAGCTGGGATCTCATCCCACCTGCCCATAGCTTCTTGGGAAAGCATACACATGGCACCTGCTGTTGTCTGGTCAATGGAGAGCATGTGGCTGGCGTTTTGTTTTTACACACTGCTGCGGTGAAAGGGGTGGTATCCAGGAGGCACCACCAGTTCCTTCTCAGTGGTTCCTTCGTTGTCTGAGAGGAACAGCAGTTACTTGTTTGGTTGGTTTTTTCCCGGCGTGCAGTGAGCCACTGAAGGTCTCCGAGTGTGTTAAAATAAATAAATTAGATTTTACTTGACATTTAACACAAAGTGACAACCACAAAAAATGTTAAAGCACTTGATGAAGTAATTTTTTTAGATAAAATATTTATTACGATGTCTATGAAGTTCCTACAAGAGAGGTTTGCTGCTTTAATAATTTATTGGGAGAGTTACAAAAATGTAAAGAAGAAATAAGGAAGCTTCCATGAGACTCCCTTCTTTGTGCTGGACGAGGGATGGAAGTGAGTCAACTGCTGTGCCAAGGTGCCTGAGGCACACCAGGGCAAGTTGGCTCCATCTCCCTGACCTTGCAAAGGTTGCTGCTGGCCTTGAGCTTTGGACAGAGAAGCAAATGGTAGATAACCCTTGCTGTCTTCTAGCCTCCTGGCTGCTACATCTTCTGTCAGATTGAGCTGGAGAGACACCAAACCACTCTCTTCCAGGTGGTTCTGGAACAGGTTGCTCTAAATTCGTACTGTGTAGCTGAGCCCTTTGGACTTCACTTCAAAATACATCTTGTTTTTTTTCCATTGAAGGTTGGTCTCAAAGGACAACAAGCACTTTAAAGCATATCTACACCTCATCTGATCTGTCACATTGTCTGCTCCCACGTGCAAGCAATACCCACAGACTCGGTGTAGCTGTAGTACCGTGAATAGACACCCTTGCACACCTAAGAGTGATCGTTGACAGGATGCAGGCTAGAAGGAGCATGGCAGTGACAACCTCATGGAGGACAAAACATCTACCACAGCTCACCCAGAGGCTCACCAGCCCTAAAGAAAAATCACACCAGCTCTTGACAGCAGTGATTCTGATTGTGAACCTAGCGCAATCTTTCAGGTGGTGGGATCAGGCAGGAAGCCACCACAGAGATTAGATTGACCAAAACAAACAAGTGGCTTTTTGTTGCTGAATTCTTATCCTTCTATATTAAAAAAGGATGGAGGGGGAGAGAGAGAAAAGAGAAACCCAGTAAAGAGTATTCTGCCATGAGTCTTGGCCAGACAAAAAGGTGGCTCTACTGGGAGGTGAAAGAGAGCAAGGTGTTACTGAGGTCTTCAGAGCCTGTTCTTACACAACCTGTTGGGCTCTGTCTTGATTCTCTCTTGCTCGTGCTGGTACAGGTCCAGCAAAATTAATCTATTTACACCAGTAGCAAAGGGATGGAAAAATTGTGACGGGAGAATCGAGCTTAGCACAAAAAAAAATCATGTTTTAATGCAGTGTTTGTCCGCTGCTCTAGTGCTTTCAGTGCCATAGAATCACAGACTGGTTTGGGTTGGAAGGGACCTTAAAGCTCATCCAGTCCCACCCCCCCTGCCAGCAGCAGGGACACCTTCCACTACACCAGGTTGCTCAAAGCCTCATCCAACCTGGCCTTCAACACTTCCAGGGAGGAGCAGCCACAGCTTCTCTGGGCAACCTGTTCCATCATCTGGGTAGCAACACCTAATGCTTTCTGCGAGGCCTCTGAAGCATCCCACTGTTCCTGGGTTCTCTCCTCCCTGTAGATGAAAGGTGTGGGTATGGTCCACAAGCAGAATTTCATCAGTCCTCAGACTTCTTCACCAAAAGGTACCACCAGATTTGATAGCATTTGAGGGCCTCTGAGCTGTAGAAGTTGGGAGCTTTGTTACAGTGTCCTTCAGGAGGCTCAACCTGCAACTCTCCGCATGTGTTTGTGAGGTTTCCAAACACAAACCCTGAGCACTAAAACCAGGGAAGCTGCCACTTGGCAGAGTCTCTTGCTTTGAAATACAAGTTGCTGAGCAAGCTCCCTCATCTCCTGCTCCACCAGCCGCCTCGCTGTGCTAGTGTAGGTTCCAGGGACTGCCAGCAGTGTTTTGTGAGCTAGAGCTGTCCTTGTCCTGCCCACTCTTCCGTAGCCATGCCTGGGACAGCGGCTTTGAAGTCACCCAGCTCTTCAGCACTAGTCACAACCCCATCTGAATGTGTCTTTTAAAAAAAAAGACAACAAAACCCCAAACCAATCCC